TCATATGTGTATAAGAAAGAGCTTTATATACAAGAGCAATTGAATATTGAGAAAACATCCCAGCCCAGGCCAGATCAAATCCATAAGTCTGATATTAGCCCATATGTCCGATACCAATCTATACATTCCTCTTCAGACTCACACAACATATGTAATGACGCTGAATACAGGAAGATCACAGGCCAGTGGGTGCAAAGTCTTGTGGATCCAATGGCAGTGGAAACACCTCAATGCTGGCGTGGGTCTCCACATGGCTCCTTCAGCTCCAGGGCTCTAGTGTAGCTCCAGGGCTCTAGCGTAGCTCCATGTGTCTTCTCAATGGGAATGTCTTGCAGGGAGTGAGTGAATGTCCTGCCTCCAGTGAGATATTTATCTCTGTGGCACCTCTAAATGAGGTCATCACACTTCGACCTGATTGACAGGCTAGATTCCACCCCTCCACAAGTTGACACCAGATTATGTACCTACCACACTAGCACACAGTGCCTTCTTACAAGTATTATAGGTAGAAGACAGTCATAATGCCCCTTAATGACAATTAATTTAATCTCTTTCTCCCTTCCCTTCTCTTCCTCCTGCTTCCTATCTCTTTCCCTGCTCCATCCTCCTTTCCTGTTCCTATGCCATGGAATTCCTTCCCTCATGTCTTCTTCCCTCTCTCCCTCCTCCTTCTTCTTTCTCCAGTTCTTTCCCTCCCTCTTTCTCCCTTTCCTAGTTCCTTCCTCATCTCCACACCCCTGTATCAGCAGGAAACATGTTGTGGTGTGTTGATGGGACCCCCTTCTTTACTATCCTCCCCAGATAGGCAGATCCTCAATCACCTTCTTATCAGCAAGACATGGGAACTGGTAATCATCCTAGGGACAAAGCAATAGGATCCTATGAGACTCCCTACCCCACTTCCTGCCCCAATTCAAATCTCCTCTAAAGTACCCAAGCACCAAAAGCCTTTAACTCCAGTAGTATGGGGGTGGCATGGGGTGGGGGGGGTGCAGAACACCAGTTTTTCTGGAGAAAAATGACACATTAGACAGAAGGTCTTTAAGAGGTAAATAGACCAAGAAAGCAAGCTCAGAGTCTGCTTCTATCTATAGCAGGTGACAAACAGCACAGCTCCATGGAGACAGGTGTAAAGCCAAGCAAAGCCCTGAGCACTGTGATGACACCAGAGAAGCCCGACACCCACCTGTCCTCTGCACCAAGTTCTTTCACTGTAATTCATGCAGATTGTGCTCACTCCTAGGTGTTGTGCTGGCTTTTTGTTTTGCTCCGTTTTGTGTGGCTTCTTGTTTTACTGCAACCATTTAAGAACAAGCTCAGAAGGCTCTCGTCTGCACCATCTACAGTTCCCCCTTGGCCACCCCATTCTCCGACCCTGTTTGCTTTTACTCCTCCCCACCCTGCCTCTTCTCTCACCTTGCTCGCTATCCTTGGAGAGATGGGCAGTGAGGACAGCCCGGTGTGCTGGCTCCCAGGTGTGACCTCAGGTCATGCCTCCTCCCCGCAGCCCACCCTGCACACACCTCAGACAGACCCCTGGGCCTCTACTGAAAAAAGACTTCTCACCAGCCATTCCTTCCTTGTCTGCAAGGCCATCGGAGAGTTCATTTTGGTGGACAAAGATGTGAAGATCAAAAAGAAAGGGAACATCTACAGTCTCAATGAAGGCTACGCCAAGGACTTTCACCCCGCGGTCACTGAGTACATCCAAAGGAAGAAGTTCCCCCAAGTAAGTGAGTGGGGCACAGGCCTCTCTCTGATCGGGGTGTGGCAGCTGGCGGGGGGGCGGGGGCTGAGGAGGTGAGGGCAGGAGTTGGCTGTCGGTCCTGTGCAAAGAGGGGAGCTTCTAGACCACGTGTGAGAGAAGTTCTGTAGACATCCCCTGGGACATGATTCATGACTTTCCCTGGAAAAGAACGCCACAGGATAGAGGTGGATTAATTAACCCAATAACTCACTGCCAGCAAGTCAATGCTGACTCATAACGAAGCTGCCCCTGTGAGTTTTAGAGACGGCCTCTTTCCGGGAGCGGACGCCTCGTCCGTCTCGTGGGAGTTTCACACGGCTGACCTTGCGGTTAGCAGGCTGACCCCTAGGCCACCAGCGCGCCTCTGAGGCGGGGTGGAGTTCTCCTTTGTACTGACCCCAGGATCTGTGTCGATGCTGGGAACTGTTGGGAGCATCGCCACTTTTTCCCAGGAGAAGAAAATCAGGATGATGAAGTCAATCAGACGGACATGTTAGTGGTAAAAACCTTGTCAGCTCCGAGGACCAGATCTCACACGGTGGTCTCACGTGGTCTCACGCCCAGAGTGCCAGGCCCTGGTCACTGGACCTCTGCTCCTCCAGGCAGAGGAGGGTGGTGGGTGGAAACCCAATCGTCATCCCAGGCTGGGGGCTTCAGGGGCTGAGTTGTGGGGAGTTGATCGTTAGGCTCTTCTTTTGAGGTACCTCTGGGGAGGCTCAACTTTTCCATGTTAGCCTGTTTACCACTTAATGATAGACCAGTGTTTCCCAGAGTGAGTGAGTGATTCAACCCCGTGGAAGGTGCTGGAGGCTTCCTGGGATGTGGACTATTAGAGTACATTCATTTCCAGGGGGGCGCTGAGCACTTGTTCTGAAAAGGGGGCAGTAGGCCAAATAAACTTGGGAACCTACTGTTGTGACTCGAGCTCTTGAAAGAGATGACAAATCGTGGAGTGCAAAGAGAAGACATGTCTGTTGGTGCTGTTGGGCCTGTGTGGAACTGTGTGATTCTGTCATTGTCATGGAAGGCTATTGATCTTCAGGGGTGGCTAGCAGAGCACTCAGAACCTTTTGGACCTGGCCCCTGGCTCTGTCTAGCTGGATTGTCTCCTTTCCTAGACCTCTCACCCCGACGCCCCCCACCTGCCACAGTCCACCCTCATTTCCCCAGGAGGCGCCACCATGCCCAATGTGGAAAGTGCAGGCCAATGCTTCAATTTTGCTGGTCCCTCTCCTTTGAAGACTCCCCACACCAGGGGCCATTGCACACTCTGACTCATGGTGACCCCGTGGGTGCCTCAGTAGAGCCATGCTCCACAGGGTTTTCAGGGGCAGATTTTTTTGAGGCAGATCACCAGGTCTTTCTTTAGAGGCACCTATGAGTGGACTCAAGCCTCCAACCTTTGGGTTAGCAGTTGAGCGTGTTAACTGTTTACACCACCCGCAAAGGGACAGGAATCTTCCCTTCTGTGCAAGAGACCTGGCTTCAAGGCCCA